TGAGGAAGGGAGATCCAAGGTCCCAAGCTGGATGAAGCCCCCACCCAGTGGGCCTGGGACCCGGGGCTTGGCCCCCGGCTCTCCTCCGCCACTCAGGCCATGGACGACTTCCTGGTGGAGAAGTGGCGCAAGTACTTCCCAGGTGAGCTTTCCTTCGGCCGCATGTGATCTGGGCCCAGCCTTGCCCCTCCTCCTCTTTTTCTCTTCTTCCCCTACCCCCTCCTCCGTCCTCCCAGCTTTGGGTCACGGCTCCGTTGACTGGCCCCTTGGGAAGCAGGCCTGGCCAGGCCAGCAGCCTCGGCTCCATGGGTGAGGGCGGTTCGCCTGGGCTTGGGCCACTGGGGCTTTATGGCTCCAGAACTCAGCAGAACCGAAAGGCTGTCATCCTTATCATCATGAGGCGCCATCGGGAGGGCTGTGTTGTAGGCCGGGAGTTTCATGTAAAGTTTTTCATTTAGGCCTGTAACCCTCTGAGGTCGTCATTCGTTTTTTGTTGTTTTTGTTAATGTTTTTACTGATGGTTAGAGAGAGGAAGGGAGAGGGATAGAGAGATAGAAACATCAGTGGGCTGCCTCTTGCACTGGGGATTGAGCCTGCAATCCAGGGATGTGCCCTGACTGGGAATCGAACCGACTGGAAATGGAAACAGAAAAGTAGATTACGTTTTGGAGATGAGATGGGCAGGGTGACTCCTGCCTCCCACCTTTCGCTTCCAGCAGTGTCTCCCTGGGAGGGGCGCCGCCTTTTCTGTTGTGCGGAGGCAGAGGTGGGGAGCAGGGGCGGCTGCTCGGGTGGGCGGCTGCGGCTCAGGCCCAGCTGGCCCTGTCCTGAGCCATTTCTTCCTGCTTCCCAGCTGGGAGCCCCAGCCTCCGCAGCAGTCCGGTGCCCTTGGAGAACAGGCTGGGCTACGTGTCTGCCAGGTACGACCCCCTGCAGCTCTGGCGCCACCTCTGAGGGGAGCAGAGCTCAAGGTGGGGCACCCTGAGGGTCAGGCAGGCCTGGGTCCCAGCCGCCCCTCCGCATGGCCAGAGGAGGTGCCGCACGCCCTGTGGCACTCGGGGAGGAAGCAGCCTGGCCAGCCCTCGCACAGCCCTCGTGTGGCCCCCCAGCTCTCCAGCCCGGAGTGGCTTTGCCCACAGTTCCTTGCCTCTCCAGTCCTGTAGCAGCATCTGGAGGAGGGGGCACCCTGTGGGGGAGACAGGTGGGCCAGCATTTGAACCTGCTTATCCTGTTCCTGGCCACATGCACCCCCCACCCACCCCTCTGACCAGTGGGAGCTGATGCTGGGCGGGCATTTGCTGATGAGATGGGACCAGGATCTGTGCCTGTGGACCCCACAGTGTTGATGTCAGGAGAACCCACCTGGAGGGAACAGTCCCGAGGGCCTCCTGCCAGAGGGGGAAGCTTTGAATGGCTAAAGCCACCCACAGCCTGTAGCTGATGTTGGGGGAGGGGGCGATGTGCTGCCTTTGGTCAGAGTCACAGGCCCTCCCCCGGCCTCCTGCCCCTGCCTCCTCTTCCCAGGGAGCAGCTCCGCCTCCTGCAGCGCCCCCACTCCGGCGTCCCCGAGGTGGGCAGCGCCAGCCTGCAGGGCATGATCGAGGCTAACCGGCGGTGGCTGGAGCGCTACAGGAATGACCCCAAGTTATATCCTTTCAGCCAGCTCTCAGACCCTGGCCCCTTCCTGCTGTAGCCGGGCTGGCGGAGCGGGCGGCTGTGTTTGTGCCCTGGGGTCTGAGGAGGATCCTGTTGGGCTTCCTTCCCTTCCTTCCCTTCTTTCCCTGGCCTTTCCCCGTGCTCAGCTGCCTGCAGTTTTCCTTCACCTTGTAGCCAGGCATCTGTTCTTAGTGCCCAAGCCAGCAGCCTCGGGCCTCCTGCAGCTGAGCCTGGATGAGAACAACAGGCTGCAGGTGAACCGCTACTGAGGCCTGAGCGGCCATGTGGGCCCCGCATCTCCTGCACCCGGGCCAGGGGCCGAGGAGGGGCCTGCACCCGCTGCCTCAGAGGAAGCTCTACAGCGGGGGAAGCGGGCTGGGGGAGAGGACGGCAGAGCTGAGAGCTAGGAGCCACCGGCAATAACCCCGAGCGGACTGCAGGGTGACCGTGGGGCGTCTGAGCCGCTGTGAGGATATGGCAGCGCTCATGTGGGACCCCCGGGACATGGGCACCTTCAGGGAGGGGGCATCACCGGCGTTGATGTCAGAGGCCCAGGGATCCCTGTGGAGTGAGGTGAGCCTGCACCGGCCTGCAGGGCTCCGCACAGTGCCATGCGCGGTCCTCCATGAGCACCTGTGTCCGGTGTCGTGTGCCTGGGACGCTGTCTCTGCAATACCTCAGCACGTGAGCTCAGGCCATTTCTCTCTTTTCTCCTCCTTTCCTTTTTTAAAACGCCCCCTTTCTTGAGTTCTCTGTTTCTCCTTTTGACTATCTCAGGATTGGGCCCAGCCCTGCCCGAGGGTGCTGGGGCCCCCCTTCCCTCGGCCGCACTGTGCTGTCCCCAGGGCACCCTGCCCTTTGCTGGGCTCCGCGCAGAGCCCTCCCGTGGCTTCTCAGGTCTGCAGCACACAACTCAGTGAGAGCCGCCCAGGAAAGCCGGGATGGCTCTGGTGCTCTCGCCTCTCACCCCTGGGTGTATCCACGTGTGCTTGTTTCTAGCTGTTTCCTGCTGTGCCCGCCCTGCTCAGCCGGGAGACTCGGTCCGAGGAGGTGGGGTCAGGGCCGGAGCGGGGCCTTAAAGGGAGGGGTCTTGTGCCCCAGGAGCCACTGCCGATCTGCACAGCCCCCTGCACCCCTCTCACAGTGGCCCCCGGGGGTCCCCAGACACGTCTCTGACATCTGTCTCGGTGTAAAGAAAAGAACGCCCCCTTCTTGCCGGGAAAGCTGTGGGGCTGCCCTGGCCTCTATGCATGGAGACCGACTCTCGGCCCTCCCACCACGAACTTCTTAGTCCCGGAATAAGAAACAAGACCCGATGGCTTTTATCCACCCTGCGTGCTCAGCTCCGTCTGCCACACAGGAAAAGGTCCCTGGCTGTTCCTGCGGGACTAGCGTATGTGTCGCACCGTCTCTGTAACCCGCCTGTGTTTGTACATCAATTAAATCTCTGCTGGTCCATTTTCTACACGGCGGCTGTGTGAGTGTGTCCTCGCCAGGGCCTCTGCCTCCTCCCTCTTAAGAACAGAGGAAGGAGCACTGGCTGGTTTTGCTCAGTGGGTAGAGTGTCAGTTTGTGGACCAAAGGGTCCCGGGTTCGAGTCCAGGCAAGGGTACGTACCTTGGTTGCGGGCTGCTCCCCAGCCCGGGCCCTGGTAGGGGCTTGTGCAGGAGGCAACCAATGGATGTGTTTCTCTCACATTGATGTTTCTCTCTGTCTTTACTTTTCTCTTTCAATCTCCCTAAAAATCAGTGGAAAAATATCCTCGGGTGAGGATTAACAACAACAAAACAGCAGAGGGAGAAGTTAATGTTCACAGAACATCTAGGAAGCTGATCTGATCATCACAACAAACTGGTGATGCAGGGATTGCCATCTTCATTCCTGTGGGCGAGGAAATCAAGGCTCGGGCACCTTTTAAGTGCCAGGTCCTGGAGAAAGTAGCTGAGCTCCCTACAAGGCAGATCCCTCCCCTCCCTGTGCCCTGGGAGGTGCTGACCTCTTCACCGCTCCCTTCATCCCCCTCCTATCCCACTGCCTGCCAGATGCAAGAGAAACCCCTGGAGTCCTAGGCAGGCAAGTAGGGGGTATTGAACACCCTACACACAGTGCATCCGTTCTTGGGTCTGCAGCAGCAGAAATGCACGGGCGCCAGCTTGAGATGGCCCTGTGTCATGGGTTTGCATAAGAAAACCAGCTTCCAGAGACGCATGCGCACTGATCTCGGCGCCTGTGGTCCCAGGGCGCCACGCACTCTGATGGAGGGAGAGAAGGCACAGGGAGCCTTTGTGGGCACCCGGATGCCAAGTGCTGTCATGTCACCTCATGCGGCCCTTTGCCCTACGAGGTTGGTATTATTTTGTAGACGAGGAAACGTAGGCTCAGAGAGGTTAAATGATGATCTCAAGGTCACCCAGGTCCACGTGTCTCCGAGAGCCAGGTTCCAGCTACCACACTCCCGCCCCTACCTCAGCCGCTCCTGTCTTCCCCTTGCCTCCTGCGGGGCTGAAGACAGGGTCCCAGGAAGGGGGTGGCTTCCAGCTGAGTAAGCAGCCCCCGCCCGGGCCAAGGTTTACAAAAGGACTTTTTCAAAAGACTCCTAAACCGTCCCATCCCTCCCTCACGGAGTCTCGGCGCCGCCTGAGGAGCCTCGAAGCAGAGTCGGAGCTGCCGAGCCTGAGCCTTGCGCTGACCGGCTCAGCGCTCACTGGCCTGGGCCAGAGGCCACGGGAAGACCGAGCTGTCCAAGTTCGTGTGTGGCAGGTGTGCAGCTAGAGCTGGTAGTCTGTTCTGAAACTTCCAGTCTGAGTCTCAGAAATATTTTTAAAGGACGTTTGTTTTGAATAGGCTCATGTTCACAGGCTCGATGCTCAGATAGTGCAGAAGTCGCTCCATCCATGGGCCATCTCGTTCCTCCTTAAGGTCACAAACGGATCAGTTCCTCCTGGAGATTTTGTGCAAAGACAAGGAAAGAGCAGGCTGCTCTGCTCTTCCCGTGGCAGGTGGGCTTAGGGTCATCCTAACCCAGGAATGGAGGCTTCCCAACGCTCTGAGACGCCCCTGACTGCTTTCTTATGGGAGCAGCACTGGGCATGATAATGGCCCCACTCCACCCCTCAACTGCACGGAAGCTTCTCACAGGACGGAGTGTGGCGAGGAGCTCTGGCCTTAAGACACCTCCTGGCTCTGACCTGAGCAAGTGCCTTCCCTGGTCCAAAGCTCAAAGCCTGAGTCCATGTCCAGGATGAAGCAGGGGCTGCCTCAGCTTCAGTGAGGATTCTGCTGTGTGGGGAGCACCCTCACTCAGAGCCTGAGCTCGGGCCGGGCTGGGGAGGGGGGCATTGGGAGGGGAGGGTGCTGTGGGGGGAGGGGTCATTTCATGGGAGCCCCTGCCCGACAGGGATTGCAGTGGAATGTGGGGCTTAACCACCAGGAACTTGATTGTGATGGAGAAGGTGATGAGGCTCCCAACACCCGGCACTCGAATCCCAGCAGACTCGGTTCCAACCTGCAGCGCCCAAGTAGTCATCCATCCAATGGCTTTGCTCACCTGCAGAACCAAGGTGCTGGTGCAGTCAGGCCAGAGGACTCGCCAGGCACAGGTCTGCCTGACTTGGGTCCTCAAACCAAGGGTTTTGCTGGCCCTGGAGCCTGGTCTGCCCATGCCCAGGCAGAGAGCCGAGTCATAGCCCCAGTAGCTGCCTGCTGCACACCCCCTACTGGGGATCGAGCCCACAACCTGGGCCTGGGCCCTGACTGGGAATTGAACCATGACCTCCTGGTTCATGAGTTGATGCTCAAGATGCTCAACCATGGAGCCACACTAGCCGGGCAAGACAAAGAATTTAAAAAGCAGTAAGAGAAACAGATGAGGTACAAACAAGGGAACCCCCATAGACAAGACTTCCTAACAGACACTTTTCAGGCCAGAGGAGAATGGGAGAACTTATCTAACCTAATAATAGACAAACATGTAAATTAAACATACCTTCGCTATGCTAATGAGCCAATCAGGAGGGTATGCAAATTAACTCAACAAAGATGGCGGTTAATTTGCATACGTAGGCTCCAAGCTGCAGAGTGAAGCCGGATGGCCCCGGGCTGGAGGAGCGAAGCCGGACGGTTCTGGGGCCAGAGCATCGAAGCCTGATGGCTCCGGCCGGAGCCTGGCCAGAGCGAAGGCCTGGGTCCCGGGTGCCAGAGGCAAACCGGTGCCAGCAGCCAAGGGAAGGGAAGGCCTATTGCATGAATCTCTTCGTGCAACAGGCCTCTAGTATAAAATATTGAAAGAATAAAACCATCAACCAAGAATACTATAACTAGTGAAGCTGTCCTTCAGAAACGAAGGAGGGATAAAGATTTTCTTGAACAAATAAAAGCTCACACAGAAGGTGGTGGGGACGCCCGTGTAGACTCTCCCAGGGCTTCTCTGTTATGACAGCTTTGCTGCTGCCTGTGCGAGGGCTTCTGCAGCCCTCACGGGTCCACGGGTCCTCACTACAACCCTACAAGGGGCCCATCTATAAGATGAAGGCGGGGGGCGGGGGGTGAGTGGGAAGGTTAAGTCAGTAGGTGGCAGAATCAGAATGCAAACCCAGGTCAGAATAAGTTTCCCACCTTTGGGCATGGCTGTGCATGTGGGCATCTGTACTCACCCTCATGAGCGGGTGCCTTCCCTCCCGCCACTGGCACTGGTGGGCAAATAGGAAGGGACAGGGAAGGCAGTTCTGAGCCACTTGCCTCTTCATATCAACAGGGCAAGTCTTCTCAGAGGAGAGCCTCCTGGTCTACCTTTCCTCCTCTCCCCTCCTCCTTTCCCCTCGCGTCTCTGCCCCAAGGCAGCTCAGTGTTTGTGTGTGAAATTAATAGCTGTCGTCCCTCCTTGGCCCCATTTCCCGTAGGAACAGCATCCACTCAGCTGCAGCCAGGAGAGGTCAGTGGGTGCAGGGCCTGGGTGACGCCTCCCCTCAGGATTTTAGACCCCCAGACGGAGGCACTGCTGTTGGGGTCAGAGGGACCCCTTCTCGGCTGGGACATCTATTCCCCTCTGAGCTCTGGCTAAGTGACTATGCAGAGACTGAGCCTCCGTTTCTTCGTCTGAGAATGAGACCATTACATGCAGCCAGGGAAGCCCACCGCCTGCCCACCCTCTTCTCCCGGTGCCCGCAGTGCCTGGCAACGTAGCATGCACACGCAGGAACTGGACGAGGCATTCCTCCATGGGAGGCCTGTGTCTAATCCCCTCTCCCTTAGGCTCAGAATGTCTAGGGCCTGGCTGGACTCCCCAGCAGCCCTACAACAAGCCCTGCTCGGCGTGGTATGCAGTTCATTCGCTGCTTGGCTCAAGGGCAATGCGGCCCTGCCTACTTCTCCCCCCAGGCCACCAGGCTGGGGGGTGCCAGCTCTCTTTCAGCCTTTTGTTCCCCTGGAGGGGTCTTGGAGCCTGAGAAGGGGGGACCTGGGAGTCCTATGGAAGAGGCTGTGGCAGGACCCAGGAGTGGGGCAGAGTCAGACGCTGTAGAAACTCTGTGTGGAAGGTGAGGTGAAGGGCTTGTGTGTTCAGGCCCCATTCACTCACTGGGCACTAGGTGGGCAGCTCTGGGCCAGGCTTTGGCTGGTGTCAGGGAGCAGGGCAAGCGTGTGCACGTTGTGATTCAGGCAGCTGTGGACACAGGGCTGTGCCTCCACCTTGGCTTCAAAAGGAGAGAACTAAAGAGAAAGAATGACACTGACAGCAGGAAAAGGGCCTCAGGGCAGAGCCTCCTGGGGGGCAGATAACCACATTGTCCCCTCTCCTGGGGTATCTCTTGTTTGGAGTCAGAGAGCCACCTGCCAGCTCTTGCTTGCTACCAACATTAATGGATTTGAGGATATTATGAGGCTTGAGAGTTTCCTTCCCTTTGGCAGACACTGTGAGCTCTCATGGCAACTTTCAGTAGGTTCTCCAGGGCAGCAAGGGCCTTCAAAGCCTATCTGCTACCCTGGATGCAGCCAAAGCAGTTCTAAGAGGAAAGTTCATAGTGATAAATGTCTATCTCAAGAAACAAGAAAAATCTCAAATAAGCAATCTAACTATGCACCTCAGAAAACTAGAAAATGAAGAATGAGCAAAGCTCAAAGTTACTAGAAGGAAGGAAATAACAAGGTCCAAGAGTAAATAAATGAAATAGAGATTAAAAAGACAACAGAAAAAAAATAAAGCTAAGAGCTGGTTCTTTGAAAAGATAAACAAAATTGACATATCTTTAGCTGGTCTAACCAAAAAAAAGAGGGCTTAAATAAATAAAATCAGAAATGGAGATGGCAAAAACATAGTGCAGGAAGGGAGTTCAGTGGTCACTTCTCTGTGAAGTGCAGATTGTGTGACAAGCTCATGTGCAGAAATGGCTGCTAGACTGTTTTTTTTTTTTTTTTAATTTGAGCTCAGGAAAAACCAAGATGGCAGCATAGGTTAACGCCAGAGATTGCTGCCTAGAACAACCACTTCAGAGATACAACAAAAGGACAGAACGGACGTCATCCAGAACCACAGGAAGGCTGGCTGAGTGGAAATTCTACAACTAGGAGAAAAGAGAATATCATACCCAGACTCAGAGGATCCGCAGTGCTGAAGTGAAATTCTCAGGTGACGAGTGCGGGAGGAGCGGGCTGGCGGCATGGCGCGCGGAGGGCGCGATTGTTTACAATCGGGAGGGAGTCGCAGACTCTGAGACCCC